GACAAAGGTGTTCTTGTGCTTCTTTTTGCAGCCAACTGTTGTTATTGGTAAAATATTTACCTTCTTGCATAAGCTGTGAAGTTTGTTAGGAGCTGAGAAGATGACTTCCAAGTTTACTCGGTTAGCTATTTTATTCAGTGCAGAAAAACTGCAGAAAAATTATGAATATATGGCACAATGATGGGCTTCTTTGTTTTGTCTCCCAGCATGCCAGGCACTTTAAACTGACCACATAAATCGGTTTCTTAACTTGTGCACTGGGATTTACTACAGAGTTGCTCGAAGCTGGTGCATTCATTAATTGAGGGTATGAATACACAAAACCTCAGGAGTCAAAAGAAAGAGAATAAAAACAGTTTTTGTCTATGGAAAAATTATCGCTAAGCCATTTATCTCAAAACCATCAGAAAAGCGTTGTGGGCTATGATGGCGTTTACTACGATTTAAAATTTGTGAGACGTTGTCGTGTTTCTTCCACCCAGTCTCAGGTGGTAAAAAATGGTAAACTTACACCAGCTCGCCTGCGCCCTAACTGTTTTTTCAAGAAAAATAGAATTGGCTTACCTATTCTTCACTTCATTTGGCCCAAATAAGCGCCACAGTAACACATACTTTTTTTTTGTAGATGCAGAGTATAGAGAAAGCATAATTATTTATTTTTCTTGATTCACTCAAATGAGCCAATCCTTCCAGAATTTTAGCGAAAGCTTCCGCCAACTTCCGGCACATCTGTAGTAACTCCCAGAGCGGTAAGTTAAGAAGAAGATTTATGCGGTCAATTTAAAATGCGTTCAATCCATTTCGACCAGTCTGTACATGTGTACGAGGCACAGATGCTTCGACCCCACTTGAGGGGTGCCCACAGATTATTCCGTAAACGTGTCAGAAGCGAACACTTTGTACTTTGTATGACGTCTGCGAGCAGTGCGTAAAGCAAACACGGAGCTTGCAGTGAACCGTTCGGTCCTCCTATGCCACGCCGACACACCGACGCGACGACGGTTACCATTTCTTGGCACGAGACTCGCTATTGTAAACTTCTAGTTTACTCGATGTAACACACGGTCTCATCATCCTGTCATTTTTGACAGAATATGGAAATGATTTCTTGGCATCACGCGCGGAGGCGTCGGGTGAGATTTGAGTTTCTGTACACGGTCATTGAACTTGGACGCGGCGATACAAATGTCATACCGCGGTCGTGCTTGGAGCTGCAAGCCCGAAACGTGCTCACCAACATTCCACTGTGGTCAAATTGTGTCGTACAGGTGTGCGTTTAGACAGAGAAAAGTCAGTCAGCCCCAATGTAGCACCTGTTGTTCCCGCTGTATAGATGGCAAAAATTAGTCAGTGCAGTTCAATGGCTACATTACGTCGCTACACAAACACACGCTGGTATAATTATCCTCCAAATCGAGACGGGCAGGGGAGGGTAGCGGCCCCGAAATCGATGGGTTACGCAGTGCAGGCGAGCTTAATTGTGTTGACGTTATGGCATATGCAGAACTATTGATGGGGTGTGATTCGAGGGCGACAATAGCTGAGTTGGCCGAGTCCGTTTGGGCGCGTGCTGACTGCGGCCTTCCACAACGATCCCGCAAAGTGCATTTTGTTCATTTTGGCAAACGATCAGTGGGAACTTGTTTTGAGCATCCGTTCTGCATATTAAACGAGCTGAATTACGGCGTCCAGTGCATACCATGTGCAGGAAATCCTCGCAAGTAATTGTGTTGTACTTATGTTGAGACAGCAGGAAATTGGTCTGTCTCAATGGCCGACTTGTTTACGTAAATAAGAAATTTAGTCAGTGCGGTACAACCGTTAGCCTGTGGTCATTAACCTGCACCGCACAGTAGTGATACAAGACGGCACGCCGGTCATCCAGATCGAAACGGGCAAAGCTGGGGATTGAACCCAGGTTCCTCGCCCTGGAAGTCTGGACTCTGGCTGCAAGGAGCGTGGAAGCTTCTGCTTGAAACCTATGATTGCAAGCCTCATATATACAAGAGCTGTCAATCAGAGATTGGTGATAGCTTTCTGAAGCTGAAAGCAGAGACGCTGATAACGCGATACTCGAACCGATATCGATCAGCGCTGCACAAAAACCGTTACGGAAGCAGACTTCTCGGGGACATCGGTGGCCGAGTGGACTAGCGCACACCAGCTCGGAGTACGTGGAGCGAAAGCTCGCGCTGCAAAACCCAGGGACCCTGGGTTCGATCCCCCGATCCTGTCCGTTTCGATCTAGATGAGCATCGTACCGGTGTGCGGTCGTGTGATGCACTGCGTGATGCACGTTAAATCTAAGCCCCGGTTAGCAGTCGTGTTACACTGGCTGAATTTCTCGACTACAACGTGAAGCATCTGTTGCCATAGGTCAAAGGCTGTCTAAACACAAAATGTCTAATTTTCTTTTTTTTTTTTTTTTTTTTTTTTGGGGGGGGTAACTTTTTTTTTTTACTTTGTTGAAACCGTTTTTTGTCTGATTGGTTACACTGGCTCAAAATACGTCCCCATCACAGTTACATTGAAGATAGAAACAACCCGACGTTACACTTACGTTTCACTGCCTATTGTGAGGAGAACATGTCTACATAAGATAAACTCTGTAAGATCCATAGGGCATAGGGCACAACACGAAGTTTCGGCCTAATTCTTAGCCTCAAAGTTGCATCGGACGCTTCGAAGCGCACACACAATTGCGTCAACCGCGTTGCACTGCAATGCCTCGTGCATCACAGCGTCTCTTCATCGGCTCGTCGTTAGGGTCGCCATAGCAACAGCTCGACGCAAGCAGTCTTAACGAGACGCAAGTGGCTGTAGTTCGCACTCGAACGCGACTGTGTGAACGAGCATTCACCTCATTCGGCCCTGAAGGAGTTAGGCATTGTTTTCTTTCGTATCTGAATCGCTAACGCGCGTATACTTCTTCAAAAGTGACTTCACTGCTCATAGTAAGACATATTAGCTTGTGTGACGCCAATTCCTACAGAATGTCTGCTTCCAGTGTTTTTTTACACGCCGTATTGACTGAATTAGGGCCAGACAGATATATAAAGTTACTCTTAAAAAGTTATTAAGTACAGTCTCTTGCGCTGAAACGCTATTAACGTATAGTTGCATCTACTTGAGAAGAAAGGGCAGCGGCGTCCACATACAGCTATTTGAGCTAAAATGTAATTACATTTAAGGTTATATTTTAACGAGTGTATATGCAGTTACAGCTATCGAGACAAAGCAGCTAAGGTACCTTCTTTTTATTTTGAAAATATCCGCTGGTGTAAAAGTGTGCTGTGCTCGCTCATCATTAACTTAAATTCCAACTATTAAAAAAAAAACACAATTTTGATATTTATGTAGAATTCTACTCACGGCAGAGGGTGAGGTATACTTTCCCAAGCAGCCTGACTTAGAAACCTACACCCAAATCGATGCGAATTTGTCTACTTAAAAACATTTGAGCAGTAACTGTTTATGAACGGTTAGAAGCTACTGAAAATAAAATAATAACTGATGCACAGTTACTAACGCTTTATTCTAACTTTATTGCAGTAATTTGGGTAGTTTTAGTTAATTGCTTTACAGCAGTGTTGCAGGCGTTACCGGAAAGAATTAACGAAATGCGGTGCGATCGTTACTTGCAGATAAAAGGAACTGGTTATCAACCTAAGTTACATCAAAACAACATAAACGCGCTATAGATATTCAGTGAGACCCGCCCGCTGAACATATTGTTCAGATACGAATACTTGAAGCGATAAAACATGGAGGACAGCAACGGAAACTGGACTTCTGTTTCCGTCCTCGATGTTTTATCTTTTCAAGTATACACCAGCACGCTCGTTTTCAATTACGTATTACCATAATGTTCAGTTGATCCCACCCATATGTTTTATCATGTTCAGCTGGTACCACCCACGCTTAACCATTGCTCAACGTACCCCCATCGGAACGCGTCAGTGCTATGAAAAAAAAGCACGTTACTTTTTGATGCCGTCTATTCACCTTGCCTGCCATTGACGGCGACAGTGTTTTTTAACACAGGGACAAAGTGCGTTGGGGTTTTTTTAAAGTGGAAGGTGTTTGCGCAGGGTAAAGAGACGCAATATATTGAAGGCACGTGGGATGAGTACAAGAATGAATATAACTTAAAACCTATAAACACACACACACAAAGAAAAATTGTCAATTGTAATTTTTTTTTTTTTTAAGTCTGGGGAATAGAAGTTGTAAGAAATAACGTAACTGCGTTACCGGTTAATCCAAATGAGTAATGTAAGTATGTTACACGTTACTGTTTTGAAAAAGGTAACGAGAACGTTATTACGTTACGGATAAAAGTTACGTGTTGCATTTCAGTGTAACGCTGTTACTGGTAACGCGTTATCGGCACTTTTTTTAGAGCCCTGGTTAGGAAATCATTTACGCAAGCGATCGTTTAACCTTTGAATCGCAGAAATTACGGAAATGTATTGTTACACAGTAGAAATGCGCCATGTAAAAGAGAAGCTTTTGGAAGATGGATAACTACAAAAGTAGTTCTATACTATCGCCTTCTAGTCTCTAGAGCCTAGCTGTCCTCATTCTCGCGTGAAATGAAACGTGGTGATGCCAGTTCGAAAAAAATGACCAATAAATACAAACTACTCCCAGTTTTGAACTAGATGGCGGGTTTCGCAGTATTTGCAGAATCAAATGTAGACGCTATGTTCTGGAAATGGCCATTTATAGCATAGTCAGACTCAATTCACCCTTATAAAGAAAGAACGATCAGTAAACACACTAGGTAATATACGTGAAAAGGAAGTGGACCGGGGCCACCCAACAGATGTCGCCACTGAGTTTGTTGCCAAACGAAAAGAAGGCGAATATTTTGCAGCAGGTTAAGAGCCCGCGACGACAAAATGTTTGCGGGAGAAAATGCCTTTTCGAGACGTGCAGAATCACGCGATCAGCGGGCTAAGACACTACGAAGAAGAGGATTAGAGAAGACGTATCACCTGAGATTCTGCGCTGCGTAAAGGCAGTCCTGTGGTTCGGTGTCCTCACACAGTCTGTCTTTGGGTGTTCCAACATCCGCAGGTAAACCTCAGGCACGTCATGGCAGACTTCCCACGCATCCGTAATGATGATGTCGTTCGATTCAGGTTCCAGTTCGAGGTCCCAACGCGCCGCAAAATCGCGCGAGAGCTTTGCCAGCTCGGTCTCGCACCAGTCGGGTCGGTTGTCGACCTCACCGCGCCGACCAAATAGGTCACGACAAACCGCCGGACGCGACCGGTCGAGCGCGTCCCGCCTAGAGTCTCTATCGTGATCCGATTTGTCCCGCAGGCTAGTGACAACCTGGGTAATGTCATCGCAGTCACCCTGCTCTGCCGTAGATTCCCGCATCGTGCGGTCTCTCCGCGCGGAACACACAGCTCACGGAAGCGAGAATCAGCGACTGGGAGCAGTCTCGCGGCGAGCTTTGGTTTCGTTTCCGTGCGCTGACACGTGACCCAACGGGGCCACGAGAGGAGGAGGAACGTGACGTAAACCGCGTCGTAGGCGAGGGTGGATTTCCGCGCCAATCGGAAGTTTTGGCGGGAAAAGTATTGCCTCGGACGGTAGGCGTTCTGATTTCGCGCGCTTGCGCGCGTGTTTGACGTCATGGAGAGGGGGCACGGCATCGCTGTTATGGCGCGAAAGGCTTGGTTTGGCGCGCTTTTTTCTCTTTCGACCGCGTGGTCGGTGGAGGGAACCGATTGAGATTCTGAGAAGAGGAGGAATGTACGGAATCCTATCAGCGCTGCGTCGGTGTGCGTGTCTGGACTTGTTGCTGCTCCAAGGAAGGCGAGGCTGTTATTTGCCGTTGTTGAGTTGAGTTTATCACGTTCCCACCGTCGTTGTCGAGCGCGTGGGATTTTTTTTTCCGCGGGAACGGTACTCAGATTTTTTTTTTATTTCGCAACGAGGCAAGGCAGTTCTATGCGACGTCGGAGAAAGTTACTGCTGCACTTTTTAGGGGTGCAGCTCCTTAGGGGCTAGCCATGTCCGTCCGATGTCCGGCGTCGGGTGCTCGTGCTCACGAGCACGTGAGCACGTGCTCCCGTGCTCGTGTAGGGCAAAGAAAACAACCGCATCTCCACGTGGTGAATGATGTTGATTGGGGCCATCGTTACTAGAACCACTCAGTTGGGAAACTGCCGTACAGACTGCTCTGAAAAAGTGGCCCCAAACTGTCCACCAGAACCGAGCTAATGGCGAACACAACGCCGCCATTTCTCCCGCAGCGGCCACTCGAGGAACTGCACATTACTTCTCTTTTGGCTTTCATCTGCCATTTTGGCGTCGAAACAGATACAGCAGAAGAGGTTACAGGGGTGCCACCCCCTTCTCCCCAGTGGACGCGCCGCGAATTACTACCGAAGTTAAAATGCACCTAGGTCGGGACGTGCTACCTGAAAGCACCGCTGAGGCATGGTTGTATAAAAACAATATTAATTGTTCCGCAAAACCTTGCAAACTAAAGATTATAAAAACATCACGCGCCCTTCATTTTGTACTAAACTCCAAAAAAAATTCATAAAAAAAGGCGTTTTTTCCGTTTGTTTTTACGCAAAAACATGCTTTCTAAAAGCTCATGGTGACCACAGTACAGGCAAATGATAAGGAGTGGCGCTGTTGTCGTATTTAGCTCGGTCTCGGTGGACCTCAGCGACCCGGGTTTGGACGGCGAGTTTCCCAACTGAGGGTTCTAGAAACGTTGATTGGGGCGAAGCTCTGCTGGTGCTTGTCTGCGTAGACGCTGAGCCGCAGCATGCCGAGCCTTTCGTTCGTTTTCATCCATGCCACGCTGCGGTCAAATGCTCAAATGCGTATATAACCACGTTCCATACCACACATTCTCTTTCTGACCACGCGGAGATGCAGTTTTTTTTTTTTTTTTTTTGTAAGTGGTTATTAGATTTACGCGTATGGGAACGTGTGTTGAAAACAAAATATTTACTAGTATTATTGTTATTAGCGCTGCCTGGGCAAAAGTTAAAATACCCTGCAAAAATATCGCCGTTAAAAAAAAAAGATTTTTGCGTTGTTGTGATTAAATATTTTAGATATGTCAGAACACGTTCCGTGCCGCCTGTTATATAGATGAAAATAGATGTTTACATCTATTTTCGTGCGTGAAAAAGACCCACGTTCCATACGAAAGGATCAAATAAAGAAAGTTTTGAAAAGTATCCAGTTTTATCAGTGGCCATAATAAAATTAAGTGAATCAGGACAATCTCCTACGTCTTATAACCTGTAATACACATGAACGATATAAACATAAAAAATGGATGTGGTATCTATTTAATAAAGTATCGCAAATTGAACGACTAAAGACAAATGAAAAAAAAAAAAAAAGCAGTTCCACTTAGTTTCCATCTGACAGGCAAAGTATGGTGGACAATCCTGGCCAAACATAAAAACGACATGCGCGTTCTTTATAGAAATAAATTCATGTATTACTTGATATGATTTTACATGCATTCTTACATAAGAGTGGTATGTGATTTTCATGGCTATTTTTACGCCCGTACGATTTTACGCTGTTGTAACGGCTGTCAGCGTACGACAAGGGCAGCCGTGACGGACAACCGGCAATTTTCTCCTGGCATCGCTCGTCGTTACCGATCGCAGTGCGACAAACGGGGCAGCACGATGTTTGTCTTCACGTTGACAGGAAGAAAGGAATGCGAAGAATAGAATGTCGACATGTGGTGGTAGCTGTAGTTCGCCAGGCCATGTTGACAGCCATGGTGGATTACACCCGGATGAGAGTAAACCGTGATGGAGTGTACAGTGTATACTGTATTTTCTCGAGATCAAGGGGCAGAAGCGAGAAGTGGCGTTTGTTCAGGCAGGGTGAGGAAACGGTAAAGAAATATCAGACTTCCACCAGTTTAGTACACGTTCGGATAGAGCTGGTTCCAAACCAGAACAAGCAAACGTCAGCAAACAAAAACACACCAGAACGTTTTTTTTTTTTTTTTTTTTTTTTTTTTTTTTTAGTAAAGAAATATTCGCACGTGGGAAATGATAGTTGAGAGACCTATACACGTTTGCAAGCAGCCGCGCCTTGAGAGCTTGTCTGGCCGCCATGGATGAAAAACGCTATGTTTCGGTGCCAGTCTGGAAACCGTGGGCGCGCCTCAGGAATGCTTCACTATTAGACGATCTACCCATACCAGCAGCAAGATTGCGGTGCCCGGAGGCCGTACTTGCAAACAGTGGCGTACCAACTTCTTCTTGAGTGTGGGGGGGGGGGGGGGGGGGGGGGGAGGGGAGGGGGAAGGGGCAAACCAGCCCCCCCCCGGACCGGGAGGCGGTACCCTTGGTATCCTTGGGCGCCGCCGGCCAATGTTTGTCCTGCCCAGTGGCGGCTGTACCAGAGAGGGGGGGGGGGGGGGGGGGGTGCCCAGTGTCGGCTGTTTCAGAGGGTGGGGGGAGGGGGGGGGGGGCAAGACATATGCCTTGCCCCCACTCTGAGAACTGGGGGGGGGGGGGGGGGGGCAAGCGGTTGCCCCCCCCCCCCCCCCCCCCCCCCCAACCCCGGTTGGTACGCCCATGCTTAAAAACGTCTAGACATACTATACGTCAAAGCGGTCAAACAAGTCAGCGTTTTCTGCCCACATTAGACGTGGGTATCTGCATGCGCGTGCGCGAAAACCAGCTTTTCGTGAAGAGAATCGACCGCGCATGCGCCGTTTTGACAGTAGCGCCACCGTAGCAGCGTGACGTCGTATACTTCTACCATGCGCCGAATCCCACGTCACCAAGAAAACGTTCTCTTGGCGTATAGTCTTTGGGACGGCGAAATAAAGCTTGCCACTCTGCATCTTGTTAATTGCGATCCTAAGGGTGGAGCGAGGCGAGATACACCGACGCAGCTTCAGCGCTGACGTACTGAACCTGGCGGTGTACGAGTCACCATCCCACTCATCCAAGGGCGTTTTCGGCGCCAGGCTCCGAGGGTGGGTGGAGGGGGTAACTCACCAACTTTGAACTTCGCGGAAAAAAAAAAAAAAGAATTTAAAAAAAAAGCCGGCCTACCTGGGGGTGAATGCCCCTTCGGATGTGTCATAGTCTTGGATGAGCGTGTCTGTCTAGTTCTCTCTCTTTCTCTCTATCTTACTATTTGGGGCAAGTCAGAACAAGCTCGTGCATGCCATTTCGTTTTTTGTTCTTTCTCTTTTATGTGTTCTACTGATCTATATACGACTTGAAATAGTGAAATAGCACCGTAGTTTCCGGATCATTGTCCGCGGGCTAGAAGGTCAGGAACCTAATAACGCGCACATCAGGGGGTTCGCCAGGAATTGAAATTAAAGGGGGTGTCTAAAGAGTAAACTTTAAGGGGCGGGGGGGGGGGGGGGGGGAGGGAAGGGGAGATTGAAAATAGAGCAGTCGTTACAAATTAAGCGGGTGCCTTCAGGAAAACAAGCGGGGAGGGGGGGGGGGGGGGGGGGGCTGTACACCCCCAGGGGGTTTGTAGGGAAATCACTGGCGCACCGTGTTCCAACATTTTCGCTTCATACGCGGGGGCGGCGGTTGAGGCCAACGCGGCCGCAGGTGAGCGCGCGCGCGCGCTCGAGTGACGTAGAGGCTTGTGAGTCACTCGGGACAACAGACGCTCTAGGCGTCGGCTTGCTTCGCCAAACAGCAAGCGACGAAGCGAACGCTGGACTGCGAGAGGGAAAAGGGAAGAGGCAGCTTGTCGGCCCGTCTCCATGATCCGTTCGTATCGCAAGCGATACAGAAATCGGTCGGCCACCTTAGCGGCATGCAGCGATTGCTGCCGTGTCTATCTACCTAAGCTTGAAGTGTGTATGTATACTGCCGCCGCAGGGGTCACTCCAAGTGGGACACGCCTGGAGTTGTCCCACTTACTGCGCAGTAATCGTGATTGGGGAGAAAATAGGCGCATTCGGTAGGGTTTTTGGTGTAGAAAAGTGCGGGACAACGGGGAGAGGAGCACGACTCCCCGGTTTGACAACACTCACATTCGAGATAGGGCAGCAACACTCGGTCTGACTTTTTGCTATTGCTTGATGCACCAACAAGCTTCAGTGAGGAGTTTTGGCAGTTCGTGTTTTCATGGAATGAAACCCGGAATACTTCTGCTATACAGGAAGGTATACGGGACAGGAGGACGGCTAGTCGACTTGGTTACGTTAACATTTGGAACGAATGAGCTGCAACACTTTTGACCTGATCCATTGGTATCTCCTGTTGTGTACCGACAAGGTTCATGGGAGACTTCAAGCAGATTGTATGTTTATATAATAAAATTCTGAAGGCGTTTTGATATAGAGAGAAACGGAGCAGATGGATTGCAACTATCAGTTTCGCGTTGCTCAGATTCGGGATGGACCAAATGAGCTGGAAAACTCGACCAGTCCTCCTAGTACAACTGGGGTATCACCA